TAGCCCGTTTGTTTTCACATTGTGCGGATTCAATCCTGAAAGTCGTCACTCGGCATCTACCACACACATGAAACTTCACATCCCAGAACACGAGCCGGTCCAACGCGTTCTCATGGCGGCATCGGATCTAACGTACATTCCCACCGGCCAACCAGGAGGCAGCGGCGAGCGTCGCTCCTAGGCGGCGGCCTGGCTCGATGGGGCCGGGAAGTGTTTTCATGTGTAAAATCTTCTCTGCGTTTGCTTTCAAAGCTTTAATAAATATCCACGGGCAGTAAATGTGCGCCCGGAGGGCGATAAAACCGCCTGCTGCGCTCCACAACAACAAGCCAGATGCAGATGGGCCGGGCGAGGCAGACGCACATGCGGGTGCTTAATACGGCCGCATGTGATGCCGGTACATTCATCTCCCCCCGGGCGGCCCCATTACCGGGATGGTCATGGGAAGTACAAGTGTGACTCCTTTCGTGGCAGGTCGGAGCCGGACTCCGGGACCGCACTGCAAACAGTTTTGTACTTAGCATGCGTTCAGTGTGTTGTGCTTGTAAAGACTCTTGAGGTATCTTAATATTCTGACCACCAGGGACTAATGTACAAATTGCGCCTGATGCCAGCAGTGGACTATAGTCAGTCTATAGGAACATTTCATTGTCACATGGAACCAGATCTCCAAAGCAACAAGACAAGATTCCTGTTAGGTACAAAGGCGGTGCATGGCCAGCTTCTCTTTCTCTTGCCTGATGTTCCCATAAACCTGCTTCAGGGCCGGTTTACACCAGATCTGGTCCAGAAAATGGGGTGAACCTGCCCGCAGTTCCAGGGCATTCTAGACCAGACATAATGAGACACGCAGTATTTTTCGGGTCTGGTCTGGAACGTACTGCGCTGGTGGGAACAGAGGCCAGAAATAGCATAGGGATACATTAGGATGCATGTTGGGTCCGGGAACAATCTGGTCTGGAGATGATCTGGATGTGGTGTGAATGGCCCCTTAAAGAGATTAAAGGAGAACTATGAGGGGGGGAGGGGGGGGGCTTGTCACTCACCTCATAGTTCTAGCCGACCTGTGACAATGAGACTGTCACAGGTCGGCTCAGTAGATCGGGAGGTGAGCGAACACATACCGGCGCTCGCTCACTTCTCGATCCTGTCACGGCTCTCTGCCGTGACAGGGGAGGGGCTGGTTTCCCCCCTCCCCGCTCCGATCCTCCAGCGATGACTGGCGGAACGAACGGGGGCGGGTACAGCTGGCTCTGCCTCTAGATAGGCGGAGCCAGATGTCAGTCACGCAGCTGGGCGGATCCAGACATAATTGTCGGGATCCGCTTCAGCTGCGGCGTCTCAGTATACCGCGAGCTGTAACTCCCTATATACTGAGCTTAGGGTGACGGGAGGACGCTAGTTTGTGTCCTCCCGTTACCCTAAGGAGAACTATGGGGAAAAGACTTAACCCCATACTTCTCCTTTAAATTTTCATCCATCAACTTTTCACCTCGACGTTAGCAGCAAAGTGGCAAACCAGGCCGGAGAGGTCTGTATGATGACGGGAGTGCTCACCTCGGCCCACGGCGTGGACATGCGGAGGTGTAGAACCACGGATCTGGAAACACAGGGCCTGCGGAGAGTCCGGGACTTTCACAATCCTGAGAAGGAAACAGGAAATGATTAAATTCATCATTATTTTATTCTTCTACAGAGTGATGTAACCCAACACTGCACCAAATCCACCGCGATCCCCCCAGCCGGGTCTCTATACCAGACACCCCTCTGGGTAAAGCCAATCAATAATGTTCTCTATCAATGTGGCTCATTTGCCAATAGGACTGTACATCCATATTAGACATCCCTTGTTCTTCAATCCCTCCAATACACACACACACACATTACAATCCGACGTATGACTAGCTGACCATCTTCATGGACATATGTCATGGGAGAACCATTCTAAACTTAACACAGGTACATAGTAGGTGAGGTTGAATAGAGACACAGGTCCATCAGGGTCAACCTATATAGTGTGTGTGTATATGTGCGTGTGTCTATACTGTCTTATATCAGTTGTCTTGTATTGCCTCCCCGGCTGTTGTATACGGTTCTGGACCTTCACAACCTTCTTGCAGAATGAGACTCCCTCCAGCCACGTTGATAATAGTAGAGGAAGTCCTTGTATCCACTCTTACTCTTTGGATTTGATGGCCACCAGGATCCGGATTGGCCTCCTGGAGCAGAACGACTGATTTAGGAGGACCTCCACCTCGGAGAACGGCCGGAGGAACACCAGATCTTCGTTTAAGGAGTAAATTTTCCGTCCAACTTGCAGGCCGGCCATCTAAGGAGAGGACGAGAGGAAAACACGTCACGTGACCCTCCGGTTAGATTTGGAAAATAGGTGAAGGGAAATTTTCGGCGAGTCACTTTTGCCGAGTCCTTCTAAAGACGGAGTCGGAAGTACTTGGTAAAGTGAGTCTATTGAACGTTGTGGAAAGGGTGGGCACCAGACCTCCCATATGAGCCGCAGCAAAGCAGAATGGTCCATTAGTAGAAAACGCTGAATTATTTATTGGTAAAACCCCCGTACAGATCTCATCTCACCAGCAACTTACAGACCTCCATCAATGCCAGAAATCAACCCAAGATTTATTGTGACAACACCTTCCTGTTTAATATTTCATCACCCAATAGAGGAAGGGTGATAGCAATCCATTACTGCTAAATACTAAGTACAATAACAAT